TGAAACACGAATATACTACTAATTAAATAATTGATAAAAGTGAAATGATTATTGGATAAATGTTTTAATAATGTTGAACTAATAAAAAGCTAGGTAAGCAGAGATAAATAGTGGCTTGTAGCCGAATCCAGGACACATTGATGGGAAGATTCAAACAAACAATACTAAATGAATTTAAACTTCACGCCATAACACAAGCAAGTGGTTATCAGGACTCAGTGGCCGAGTGGATAATGAGGTGACGTTTGAAGCGAACGTACTGGATTCGACTTCCACCCAGAGTGAATATCAACTCTAAGATGCAGGTAAATCCATCTGACGAGTTCCGAATAGAATGAAACGCGCATCAAACTAGATTCCACTGCTAGCCACTATCCATTTTAATGTTGTCATTCATTTGTTCATGAATTGATTGATTGATTGATTGAATGAAACACGAATATACTACTAATTAAATAATTGATAAAAGTGAAATGATTATTGGATAAATGTTTTAATAATGTTGAACTAATAAAAAGCTAGGTAAGCAGAGATAAATAGTGGCTTGTAGCCGAATCCAGGACACATTGATGGGAAGATTCAAACAAACAATACTAAATGAATTTAAACTTCACGCCATTACACAAGCAAGTGGTTATCAGGACTCAGTGGCCGAGTGGATAATGAGGTGACGTTTGAAGCGAACGTACTGTATTCGACTTCCACCCAGAGTGAATATCAACTCTAAGATGCAGGTAAATCCATCTGACGAGTTCCGAATAGAATGAAACGCGCATCAAACTAGATTCCACTGCTAGCCACTATCCATTTTAATGTTGTCATTCATTTGTTCATGAATTGATTGATTGATTGATTGAATGAAACACGAATATACTACTAATTAAATAATTGATAAAAGTGAAATGATTATTGGATAAATGTTTTAATAATGTTGAACTAATAAAAAGCTAGGTAAGCAGAGATAAATAGTGGCTTGTAGCCGAATCCAGGACACATTGATGGGAAGATTCAAACAAACAATACTAAATGAATTTAAACTTCACGCCATTACACAAGCAAGTGGTTATCAGGACTCAGTGGCGGAGTGGATAATGAGGTGACGTTTGAAGCGAACGTACTGGATTCGACTTCCACCCAGAGTGAATATCAACTCTAAGATGCAGGTAAATCCATCTGACGAGTTCCGAATAGAATGAAACGCGCATCAAACTAGATTCCACTGCTGGCCACTATCCATCTTTGCTTACAATACTTATGAATTAAGGTTATATCAAGGCAATCCGTAAAGTGTGCAGATATGCTAATTATTGACTGACCAGTTGCAGTCCTAACATATCGATCGGAAGATTCGAACAAACAATACTAAATAAATTTATTACAAAGCTAGATATGAGCTTTGAAATATTACTTTATGCTATTTTTATGTAATGGGAAAGATCAAACCAGACTCAAACTGAAGAAGAAATTCGGAAAGTTGAAGTTAGACATTAACCCCGTTTGATACCGGCTCAGTGGCTAAAATGCTAAGTGTTGGTGCGCGAAACCAATAGGTCCTGGATTTGAATCTCGTGAGGCGGAATCGTGAATGCGCACTGCTGAGGAGTCACACAACAGGATGAAACGGCTGACCAGTGCTTTCAGGTTTTCCATAGTGGTCTAGCTTCGATTGACTCATGATCTAAAATATTATAATTAGGAAAAGATGTTGAACTAAAATAAGGAAGTCTGCACTATTCCAACTATCACTGATTTAATAGATGGTGTGTCATTTTGTTGTTTAATTAACAGAATACTACTTAATACTACTTAAATAGTATGGGAAATTTGAGCAAGCTAAAAAGATATTATAACGATAAAATTTGATGTGATAAAGTACGATTCATGCTTCTTGATAACCAATAGTCGGTTTCCCCCTATATTGCTTCAGAAAATTATTCTGACTAACCTACCCATACTTCACTGTTCATCTGAAAAAAGATTCGATTTTATCTCCTACATATTATAGTAAGAGTCACAGGGATTCAAGCTAGTTATCCCAGTCTATGGTTTCAGGAGATTTTGGTAATATTTGTAGTTCGGTTTCGATCCTTTATTTATTCCTTTCCACCCACTTTTGTATCGATTCATTAATCGCTTTTTATGACTTAATCTTACTAATAAGCAGAGATGGAAGATGGTCATCAGTGAGGTCAAAGATGTCAGTTTCGTCCTACTTAAGACTCATGAGTTGGATATACTTACATCCAAGAGTTGATATTCACTATAGGACTCAAACAATCAATACTAAAATGAACTACTGACCAATCACTAATCAGTACGATTATTTTACTCTATTTTCTTAGTTGATTATATTAACTTCCTATTCTTGTATCAATTGTATTGAGTTAAACTCTAGAACAATGTACCATTGGAGTTATGTTTCCTATTGCTGTGCAAATGGATGATTGGTAAATGAATAGAGCAACAAGTTCAACTTCAAATTCCTGATTAGATTTACTAAATGTCCTGTCTTCTTTTGCTTATATTTCTGAAAAATCCAAAATTATCATATAGAATAACACCGAAATTAGCTGAAGTATTAAAGGATCTGAAAAGAACTTCTTGAAATCTGTTGACTAATGGAAACTAAGTGGAATAGTCTATTTCTGGTGTCTTTAAAGGTATAAGACAGATTATTTACACAAACATAGTATACCAATCAAACTATTTTATTTATCTTCACTTGGTATTGTTTGTTTGAATCTTTCAGTTGATGTTTACGACTGCAACTGGTCGGTCTTTTATTGGCATATGTTTATACTGTGCGTAATGCCACGATATAGCCTTAATTCACAAGTATTATAAGCAAAGATGGATAGTGCTTAGCAGTGGGATCCAGTTTGATACGCGTTTCATTCTATTTGGGACTCGTCACATGGATTTACCTACATCTCAGAGTTGATGTTCACTCTGGGACTCGAACCCAGTACCGTTCGGTTTAAATGTCATCGCGTTATTCACTCAGCTACTCAGTCATGATAGCCAATTTCATTGTGAGATGAGGTAAAGTTTAAATTCACTTGCGAATTAAGGCTATATCGAGGTAATACTTACAGTCTGCACATATGCCAATGACAACCTGATCAACTGAAATCCTAAACATCAATGGGAATTGTTGTATCCTGAAGAGAATTGTGAATAGTGACTTTTGAGGTCTATTTATAGACCAATGTGTTATGTATATTTCCTATTGTAACTAACCTAATCATATTCGTCTTCCTCTTATCACTAACCTTATTTTGACCTTTGAACTATTATTATACGATTCTTGAGTTATCATCAGTTTATTGATTACTTTTTCCCCCCGATTCACAGCTACATTTGGCTAAATATTGTACAAATGTTATTTTCTATTTTATGGGTTGATGTGGTCAGTTTGGTTGGTATATAAAAACCCAGTATGTTTGTGAATAATGATTCTTACCACAGAGGTTGTTATTGGTGTTTTGGACTCAACTGGCTGGGCTAAGCAGAAGCAGGACCGGTTAGCACTCTAGACTGCTCGTACAGTTTCGCTGCTCCCTGATTGGCGGTCTCCTCGCGTCATACATTAACTAGGCATCCACTCAACCACAAGATATAACAAGAAGATTAAAACAAGTAATAATAAGTGAATTTAAACTTCACTCCATTGCACAAACAACTGGCTATCAGGACTTGGTAGCTAAGTTGATAACGCGATGGCGTTTGAAGCTAATGCTACTGAGTTCCATAGTGAACATCAACAAGTCTGAAATGCAGGTATATCCGGCTGACGAGTCCCAAATAGGACGAAACGTGCGTCCTAGATTCCACCGCTAGCCACTACCCATCTTTGCTCATTTTATTTAATGCTTGTTTCATCGAAGTTAAAATACTACCGGAAGAATGACACATCTATAACTGATCAGTTGAATTATAGAGAAAAATTTCTTGGTATATAATTCCATAGAAAGAATAGATTTCCAACCAATGGAGTAAACCTTATTGAGAACGTCAAAACTTTCATTCAAGAGGCCTGTGAACTAATCAAATTGAACAAGTAAACCTATCAATTACTTAATGAACACCTTTCAGTGATAATAGTAAATAGGATGTTTGATTTACCCATATGATGTTTGGTCTAGATCTCTTAGGATGCATACTAGTTAGTGAGTGAATAGTACCAATCTCTATACTCTTTACAAGATTAGTCACAGCTTAAGCAATTCTGAACTAGTCCCTGGTTTCAAATACTACCTAATGACAAAAAAACAACTTGTACCAATTCTTCATTTCATGGTTTCTCATTGATCATCTCTTACCGTTTAGTATGGAAATATTATACATTAAAATCATGGGTCGTTCAGAACAACCAATGTAGGCTATGGGATTGTGTAGATTGATAAGTCTTTGATTGAGATCATGAATCACTCAATGTTAGACCATCACTGAAGACCTGAATGCACTGGATGGCCGTTTCGTCCTATCATAGGACTACTCAACAGTGCATATCCACGATTTAACACATGGGATCTCTTGATTTCAAGAACTTCAGTCTCACATACGAACGCTTAATCTTTATACCACTGAGTCAGAATTCAACCGTGTTAGTGTCTAACTTTCACCAATCCACGAAATCTATTGATTCTAAGAACTTCACTCTTACATACGAACACTTAACCTCTATATGACTGTGTAGGAATTCAGACATGTTATTGTCTAACTTTCATCAATCTAATGAAATTGCACGACTATCTTCTATTGTCCAAGATAGATACCTATCACTTCCCGACATGGATTAGCTCACTAGAACTCCAAGAATTTCCTCTTGTAGCTAGTCACTAGTTAGCACATAGTATAAATCTTAGCCATGAAACCAAGATATATCAGCATCTATCTCGTTTCAAATTTGATTTACTCCTATCTTTTTGTCACTATTCAGATATTAACTTATTCAAATGTAAACCATAGGTAGTCCATATTGAATAGAAGAAATGAAATCCATTACATAACATTCACTATTATGTCATAAAATGTCAGATTACATAATCTTCAACTTCTTCTTTCATTATTCATTAAAGCACATAGGATGATATAATCACATATGATCAGTCAATATATTCAGGTATAAAAGCATTGAAAGCAAACTATATATATATAATCAACTTGTATAGAGTAATACAATAGAGTAATAGAGACATAATGGAAGATTGTTCAATCAAGTAGATTAGATAAAGTATAAAATAAAGAAGATACATTAAAAAGGAAAGGGGAGCGAGAGTGGGAAAGGAGGATTGAGAGGCTGGAATACAAAATGCTGATCATGATGCACCATTGAATGAAGGAGATGTGGTCAACGACCATAGATGAATGATTTGATGAAGATAATGACCATGACGATGGTGATGATGAGGATGTAGATGATAAAGCAGAAGGCAATAGTGATGACATAATACAACGGATGAATATATATTACTTAAATGTAATATAATCGACTGATTCAATGTTTATAATATGATAAGCATTAAAAAAAAACTGTATTAGCTAACTAAGCATTAAAGTATAGATTTAGTTCCAAACAAAATGCATTAGCATACATTGCTTAGTTTATGAGTAGTTTATGAGTAGTCATAATAGTAGTATATGTAATTGAGATAGAAAAAAAGGAATTTGATTGTATTGAATACAGTCTATGGTCTATTTTTCTTTATATTCAGCTAACTAGACATTCATTGAACTATAACCATAGTGTTGTCGAAGGTTTCCATTTCTTTCTTTGTTCATTCATTTTAACTACCAGTTATAATATTATAGGAAGCTGTATAAAGAGAAAAAACAAAAAAGAAAGAAAAGAAAAACATGAATAAAACGGTATGAAGAGATCATTATGAAAGTGTTTAACTCTCGGGTGCCCAGACCGAAATAGGTGGTTACCATAGGGGGCTACACCCAGAGCCTTTGACCTCAAGGTCTGATTCACAAGAAAGAGGAGCATCGTGAGGAGATGTAGTTCAATGGTAGCCGGTGACCAACGATTGGTTCATACACCATTTGTTCACTTAAGATACTGGAACCCATATGCACTATTGGTTTGGAATGAGGGTTTTCCAACTCCTCCAGATGGACTCATTGTGTCCGCCGACCCGGTAAAAGCGTCGTACATTCGCTTTTAATCCTTTCCATATTGTAAACAACACCCTCGCCACTGTGAAAAGGCAGTGAGCAGGACTTCCATGGCAAAGGCTGTATATGCGTGGCCGTATGAGAGCATTTGTTTGCTTGTATGTAAACCAAGCATGTTTGAAATATATAATTCATAAAGTGGAAGTTGATATTCTGTTCTGAAATGAATTTCATTTTTCAAGGAAATGTTATTGAAACTAAGGTAACGAAATAAAATGCCCCAGTGATACGTTCTATGACTTTAGAACCAAGCAACCTGAATTGCACTCACTAACTGATATGCTTGAACTAAATCGATTTCCGAGGTAACGAACGAAAGCCAATGACACAATGACACGATAAGCTATTCAAATCTGTTGTCCCATGCCCCGCTAACTAGGTAAAGAAGTCCAAGGCAAGTAGGGGAATATATATTCCGTAAGCAGGCGAGTACAAGCAATCAAATAAGGGAAAAAGTCAAGTGTATATATACAGCAACAAATTGTCCTTGGGCATCATTAATGAATAGCACAGAAGCTGTTATTGGTGTTTTGGACTTAATTGGATGGGCTAGGCAGATCACTTCACCGGTTAGCGCTCTAGACTGTTCGTACGGTTTCGTGTGTCACTGTTCCAACCGATAATTCGCTGCTCCCTGATTGGCGGTCTCATCAAGTCACACATTAACTAGGTATCCACTCGGCCACAAGATATAACACTAACAAAGTAATATATCTGTTTATATTGTAGATATGTGGTGTGGTCTACTTATATCCATATAAGTAGTATATGGTGTGTGTCAGAATGTAGAATGTATTTTGGCAGAAGACCGATGAGGAAAGAACTGAAATGAAGCACAATCGTTTGGAAAATGCATGAGCAATGGAATAAGAGAAGAAACAATGAAGATTGAAACAATTGGTTGTTAATTTGCAAATTGACTGTTCATTGTTTGGTTATCAGAATTTACTGAGATAGACTGTAATGTTTGCTTAAATACATTCGATTGTCCCCAACTAGTGTTCTGTTCACAACACTTGGTGTCGATGCCAACCAGGAGGAGGAAGGATGCTGTTCTGCGGACGCCGCTGCGGGTCTGGAGTTGAGGTGCTAGTTGGGGCAGTCTGGTGCGGAGAGGTGGCGTCGAGTGGAGTGTTCTGGCGGGGGCGGCGTTGGCTGTAGCGGGTGCTGTCGACGGAGAGGAGCAGTGGGACGTGCGGCTGCTGGGCGGATTAATAAGAGACCATGAGTCAACTGAAGCTAGACCACAATGGGAAACCTAGAAGCACTGGATGATCGTTTCGTCCTTTTGCGAGACTCTTCAGCAGTGCTCATCCACTATCCCACCTAACGAAATTTGAACCTAGAACTTACCAGTCTCATGCTAGAGCACTTAACCCAGTGATGTTCTAGCTTCAATTGACTTATGATTTCATCTATGAAAATACTGAAATCTTCACAAAACCCCTTCTGATTCAAATTAGATGTTCATAGCGTTTTGTTCAATGAAGATTAAATTATGGATAACTTTAGGGAATTACTTAGAAACCATTAAGTAACTATATGATATACGATAAGCAATGATGTATAGTGGCTAACAGTAGAATCCAGATAAAGCTACATGCATCTTAAAGAGGAGAACCTTCTTCGTAGTAACGTTGCGAATAGTGTTCTTCAACCGATCATTGTTCATCGATGATTTTAAGGATAAATTATCTCATCTGACTAATTCAATGTACATATACCAATTTATCTGCTCATGTGGAGCCACGTATATAAGTCATTTGATGAGTAATTTATTCAAAAAAAATTCAAGAAGATTACCCGGTGTGGTTAAGAAGAGAAGGAAACGGTTCATTAAGAAGTTCAATAATCAAACACTTTATGAACATAGGTCACTCATTCAAGACGAACTCTACATTCAAAGTCATCTACAAGGTATGTAGAATTCTTTCAAAGGAAATTATATTTCATCTCATTAGCAATAGCTATATATTTAGAAAAACCAGGATTGTGTGTTCAAAAGAGATTGGTACAACCTCTTCTTCTTATCATGGTCATAATGTCTTATAGCCTTCTTCATACTATTCTTCCTGTATAGCCAAATGCTTCCCCTTCCATCTTCCTTGTAAACCTTCTACCCCCAATTGGTTTATTTTTGTTTCTATTCTTCTTCTTATTATTACATTTAATCTTATCATGCTGAGCTATTCTTTCAAAATGATAATTTCCCTATCTATATTTATGATGAGTATTTAAGACGTTAGCAATCAAACGATTATCAGTGAACGGTTGCTCAACTTCATGGATTGGTTGAAGTTAGAGATTCACACAACTGAATGTAAACTCTATGGTCTACAGATTAAGCGTTCCGGCGCGAGACCAACAAGTCCTGGGTTCGGATCTCACGAGCGAGATTGTGGATGTACTCTGCTGAATAGTCCCATACTAAAACGAGACAGCCATCCAGTTCCTCCTAGTTTTTAATGTTGATCTAAAATAGATTGACTCATGATCTCAATCAAAAACTCAACAATCTTCATAACCCTCCATTCTAACAAAACATTGATATTATTTTTACTTTGTTGCATAATGATCATTTTTTAATGTCATATTCTATTTGGATAAAGAAAATAAAATTCACTTGGTGTTGTTTACTTATATCTTCACATTGTTATTTAGGATTGCAATTGATCAGTCTCTTATTGGCATATGTGCATCCTGTGTGGACTGCCTCAATATTGCCTGAATTCACAAGCTTTATAAGTAATGATGGATAGTAGCTAGCAGTGGAATCCAGGATACACGTTTCGTCCTATTCGGGACTTGTCAACTGGATGTACCTGTATCCTAGAATTGATGTTCACTCTTGGACTCAAACCAAGTACTGTTCACTTCAAACACCAACGCGCTATCAACTTAGCTACTGAGTCGTGATAGCCACTCGCCACTCTCTCATCAAATTGGATGCCACTGCTAGCCACTAATAATCTTTGTTCATCAAGAATACGAAAATTACAATTTTTTTTTTAGACAAACAAAATATGAGACATATTACGTAATTATTCCGTGATATAACATCCTACAAACTTTACTAACCAAGTCCTCTTTGTTCTATCATAGATAAATGAAAATTGCCGGAAAACACGATAGTGTAACTCAGTTTGTTTTCATGTTGAATTCAATTATCCGTTATGAAGATATTTGTTAAAAAAAAATTGTAGGCAATATTCGATGTGTTGAATTAAGAATCGAAAAGTTTATGTCGTCAATTTAAAAAAATTTTAAGGGATCGTTAGATTTGACGCCAATTAGATCATATGATGTTATCGATAGGCTTAATACTTTTCGTAGACTTGTATTTAAATTCAATGAGATTAAATGAATGATTATTATTGAATAATTTTATATATAGTTGAAATCATGATTCAATTGAAGCTAGATCATTATGGAAAACGTGAAAGTACTGGACGGCTGTTTCGTCCTATTGTGAGACTTCTCAGTGGCAGTGCGCATCTACGATCCCGCTTCGCGAAACTCATGATCTCAACTATTGAAATTATTATAATGTTCACAAAACTCTTTTTATATTAATCAACATATGCTTACTAGTGTTATATCTCCTGGTGAATTATGAATGGTAACTCTCAGGACTATTTATCGACCAGTGTACTATGCCTATTTCCCATTGTACAATTCTTACGTAACTAAACTATTTATATTCCTGTTTCTCTTATCATTAGCTTTATTTTGATCTTTGATTTATTATCATACGATTCTTGAGTTATACTCAGTTTATTGATTACTTTGGTTTGTATAAAAACCCATTATGTTTGTAAATAATGATCCATATTGCCGAGGCTGTTATTTGTGTTCTGGACTCAACTGGCTGGGTTAGGCAGATCGCAGGATCGGTTAGCAATCTAGTCTGCTCGTACGGGTTTCGTGTCAGTGTTTCTAGTCGAGAATTCGCTTTCCCTAATTGGCAGTTCTATCGAGTCACATATCAACTACCCATCCACTCGGCCACAAGATATAACACTAGTAACTAGCTTCAAGAGATCTAGTGAGAAGTAGTGACCAGTGGAGCTCAATCAAGTATGTTGTGAGATAGTAACTCACTGAATTCAATAGTGGACGGTTGCTCAATTTCGTGGATTGCTCAAAGTTAGACATTAATACCGTTGGATGCCGATCAGGTGAGTGGTCTAAAGGTTAAGCGTTCGCGTGCAAGAATGATAAGTCCTGGACTGGAATCTCTTTATTCCGTTTGCCGAGTAAGGTGAACTCGTAATAGAATCAAGCATATCAGAGGGTAGGACCTTCAATGTCGTTGGTTCGTTGTCTGTTTTAATATACTATTTTGTAACGTTTCCCAAGGACATTTTTATACTGTATATATATGCTTAAGTTGTGCTTTTGGTTTTTGTTCGTGCTTCTAGGTGCTTGTGGACTACATTTCCCTCTTCTGAACTTGAACTTCTCTCTAGAGTTAGCGAGGCTGAGATGCATCTGAATAGCTTATTCGGTCATTGTGTCACTAAGTCTTCGTTCAGTTCACAGATTCGGTGAACTCGAAAATCTCTTCAAACATAACAGTTTTGTGATTTTTACTTGTCCTTTAATCAAGATCATTCCCCAATATAAACCTTAAAATCCAATAATATTCACAAATCCTCTGTACTACCAAGTTCATAGGTTAGGATGTTAATGTATGTCAATGAATGAAATGAAGTTTGAACTGGTCAAATCAGAATATCATTGAATCGACATCTAACCATCTGCATCACCGATGATTCTAAAACAGAATTAATGACTTTGATTCCATTTGAATTGTCGTGCAGTCGACATGAGATGTCAAGGTCATGAGTTTGATATTATTTAATATATGACAATGATAGAAATCGATTAAGAAACAGTCAATCTAAAGGTACACTTTTCCAAAGCAATATGACTACTGGATTATTCAAATCATACATTTAAGAAAGATGTAAGATAATGAAGATTATCAATTGTATACATATCATTCACTAAGCTATAAATCTAATGAGCATAGCAGATTTAAAACATTATATTTAGACATATGTTGAGGAAACATTTAGAAAGCTGGTGAGTACTGGAAACCTATCTTATTCTAGTATAAGTCTTAGAAGTCTTCAGTCTCCATTGTCTTCAGATGATGATGAAATCCATCAGATAGCTATCTTCAGCTAGCTAGTAACTAAAAGAAACTGTGACTTATGTGATTTAGTCAGATAGTTAGTGACAAGTCACTTATGAAGTAAGATAAATGTCTTCTTATATAGTTAAATGATTGAAAGTAATAATACAGATAGTAACTTCTCAACTCAATATTTCAAAGACAACATAATAGAATGAAGGTTTGAAGATTCTTAGTGTTGGGACAGATTCTGAGAACTACAATGGAGCCTACAAAGGCCCTAAAAGAGCCGAAGAGTTTCCATCTAGTCAAAACGTGGTGGAGCTTTCTCTAGAATATCAATGTGGAATACTGCTATTGACCAGTAGCATAACATACCTTTTTACTGATTGGTTGAATTTCCGTACATTTTGATTCTTACCCAACAAACACTTCTCCAATCTTCTTCTATTTTCTGATTTTCGACCGTAGGGTTCTATACATTCAAGTTCCGTAGTTGTATACCGTATACTGTGTTAATCAAGTAGTGAACTAAACACTTAGTTCTGTACCCGGATCTAACAATTTCATACTGCATAACAATTCCATTATCTTTAGATTACTAAGTAACTATTCCGTATTCTACTAGTCCCAAATAGGACGAAACGCGCGTCAAACTGGATTCCACTACTAGCCACTATCCATCATTGCTTATAAAGCTTGTGACTTCAAACAATATCGAGGCAGTCCTCAAAGGATGCACATACGCCAACAAGAGACTGATCAATTACAGTCCTAAATAACAATAGGAAGATACAAGTAAAACGACAACCATTGAATATAACTTCACCCCGTTGCACAAGCAGGTGGATATCAGGATTCAGCAGATGAATGGATAACGCGATGACGTTTGAAGTGAAAGGTACTGCATTCCAGTCCCAGCGTGAACATCAACTCTGAGACGCAGGTACATCCAGATGACGAATCCCAAATAGGACGAAACGTGCTTCAGACTGGATTACCCTGCAATATTGAGTCAGTCCTCAAAGGATGCATATATGCCAACAAGAGATTGATCAATTGAAGTCCTAAACATCAATCGGAAGATATAAGTAAACAATATCAATGATATAGAAATAAGCTTACCATGTTTATATGAATTCTCATTCATGATAGCCGTTGTATTGTCAATCTTTTCACTTCTCATCTCTTGACATACATTATAAGTAATACAATTTTCACCTGTTAATATATTACGTAAAGTTTTTGAGGATACTATACGATTCGTTGAATCATTTTCATTTATATTTAAATTTGGTTGTGATAAATGTTTCTCTTCAATGGATACAATATAAGAACGACCACGTGAACCATCTCCAGTTAATGGTGAACTAAGATCTTAAAGAAATAAGATAAGAGTAGAAAGAAGGTTAATTGAAGATAAATGATGATTGAAGTGACTATATTAGGCTTACTTACTTACCAACGCCTGTTACTCTCAATGGATCATAGGCCACCGACCAGCGTTCTCCAACCCACTCTGTCCTGGACCTTTCTTCTTAGTTCTACCTAGTTGTTGTTCATTCTTCTCATATCTGTTTCCATTTCTCGGAGTGATAAGTTTTTTGGCCTTCCCTTTCTCCTTTGGCCTTCAGGATTCCATGTGAGGGCTTACCTTGTGATGCAGTTGACTGCTTTCCTCAATGTGTGTCCTATCCACTTCCAGCGCTTCTTCCTGATTTCTTCTTCCACTGGAATCTGGTTTGTTCCCTCCCACAGTAGGCTGTTACTGATAGTATCTGGTCAACGGATTCGAAATATCTTGCGTAGACAAATGTTAATAAACACATATCTTCTGGATGATGGCTTCCGTAGTTCTCCAGGTTTCCGCCAAATACAGTAGTACTGTCTTGACATTTGTATTGAAAATTCTGATTTTGGTGTTGGTTGACAGTTTTTGAGTTGACTTCCAGATGTCCTTCAACTGTAGATATACAGCTCTTGCTTTACCGATTCGCGCCTTCACATCTATATCAGATCCACTGTGTTCATCAATGATGCTGCTGCCCACATATGTAAAAGTCTTTACATCCTCCTAAGCTTTTCCGTCAAGTGTGATTTGATTAGTGCATGCTATGTTGTATCGGTGAATCATGCTTTTCCCTTGTTTATGTTGACATCCACTGCTGCTGACGCTACTGCTACACTGTTCGTTTTCTCCTGGATATTTTGTTGCGTATGTGATAGAAGAGCCAGATCATCTGAGAAGTCTAGATCGTCCAGATGCAAGCTTTAGAATTTATGATGTAAAAATTGGTATTAACAAATAGATTCATACTCATCTATGCCTGCAAAAGTAAACTGAACGGTCAAGCTGGTGATGGAAATTATTTTCAATTCATGGTAAGATGTAGATACATCTGGCTGACGATTCGCGCATCAGGCAGAACATACGTCTTGTATTACAACTTAAGAAATATGTCAAAGCTTTGTTTATAAGTTCAAGCAATTGATCTATGTGGTTGAGTTGGGATTAAATGGAAGACAATGAGACATCATTTTTAACGAAGACTAGAATGGTAAAAACAACTCAGTCCTACAGAAGGTTAGTAGGTGACTGAATGACTTCCTACTGTTGTGGTGTATGTCGACAAACATAAGGAGAAAAAGTCTTTTCTTCAAAATTGTCAATCACTTAAACTTGTAATCGAATTAACTAGTGCAAAATTGGAGATGATTGAAATATTTGTGTATTTGAGTAGCTATGAGTAAGGATATACAATGATTCAATGATAATGTCAAATTTGATAAAGGAGATTTGGGAGAAGTGGAAACTTTCACGTACCTACACTGACAGCATCATCGATGAACAAGGAGGAAGTGATGCAGATATGAAAGTGAGGATTGGAAAAACAAGCGTAACATTCTCATAACTGAATAACATATAGAACTCAAAACAATTGTTAACTAATGTTAGAGTCAGAATCATCATTGCAAACATCAAGACAGTTCTACTATACGGTGCTGAAACATGGATAACTACTAAAACTATCACGAAAATGGTACAAGTATTTGGAAATAATTGTCTGTGTAAGATACTGATTGTCCATAGGCCGAGTATCATCACCAACAACCTACTGTGAGAAAGAACAAACCAACTTCCATATGAAGAGGAAATTAGGAAAAGACACTGAAAGTGGATAGGACACACATTATAGAAATCATGAAACTACATCACGAAGCAAGCACTAATTCGGAATCCTGAAAGTAAACAAAAAGAGGAAGGCAAGAGAACACATTGCGTTGGGAATTGGAAGCAGACATAATAAACAACAACCAGAAAGAACTGGAAAGTATTGTTGACAATAGAGTTGGATGAAGAATAAGTCAACTTATTGATAGTTTTGAGATAAATGAAAATTTCAATCTATTTATTTCATAATTGAATTCAGGAATCAATTAAATTTGGACTATCAATGAAAACTTAAAAGCACTGGATGATCGTTTCATCCTAGTATAGGACTCCTGAGCATGATTTCGCCCTCGGGATTCGAACCCAGGACCTTTGTGCTTCATTTGGTTAATAGAATACAGAGATTTCATCAGAGCATATTAACAATGTTCAAAGTACTCTTGAGACATATAAAAAGGTGAATGATATTAGTTTGCGATATAACCAAAGATCAAATATACAAAGTACTTCCCATCTGAATATACAATATCAAAGGAACTGGAGATATATATGAGTCAAATAGATCAAAAAAACAAAGGTTAGGATAATTCTATATCTTACCTCTTTTCTTGACTGTTCTTTTAGATTCCCCTAAACGATAAGTATAACTTTCAACATTCTCTCCACTTAAAGGATTTTGTCGATCTATAAAAAGAAATATTTGTCAGTGAACTGTGTATACGTTGAATTGATATTTTTACAGATACATTTTACACTACTTAAATTAAAATAAGTAGTAATTAAAATGAGATGTTCATTTATTCATAAATCAGTGGGACTATAATTTATGGATAATAGTTGAGTCACACTAAAGTGATCCTGAGAATGTCCAGCTACTTACTAAGATTAAACGAGGGGTGTAGATCTGTGTGAAGAATAAGGATTATGATTTACAGTTGATGGTTAGGGTTAGGGATTAGATTTATGGTTGGATGAATGAATTTCGCGCTAAAATCCAAGACTTGTTATCCTAAATTTGATTCGTTCTTCCCTAGATTATAATCTTGTCTAAAATGTTATTATTTTTGCAAAATTTTGTAATTTTATGTTAGAATGGTCTTTATGCACAAAGTTCCTTGAGATAGTGAGATTAGTATGAATCAGACAACTTGATCCACTTAGTATTTTTGTGTGATTTTTCCCATTGATGTTTAGGACTACAACTGCTCAGTCCCTTATTGACATATGTGCATACTGTGCGTATTGCCTTGATATAACCTTAATTCACAAGCATTGTAAGAAAAGATGGAAAGTGGCTAGCAGTGGAATAAAGTTTGACGCGCGTTTCGTCCTATTTCTAACTCGTCGACTGGATGTACTTGCATCTCGGAGTTGATATTTATTCTGGGACTCGAACCCAGTACCATTCGTTTCAAACGCCATCGCTTTATCCATCTTTGCTTATAGTGCTTGTGAATTAAGGCTATATCGAGGCAATACACAAAGTAGGCATATAAGTCAATAAGAGACTGCTGAACTGCAGTCCGAAACATCAATGAGAAGATTCAAACCAATAATACCAAATGAATTTAAACTTCACCCCATTGAACAAGCGAGTGGCTATCAGGACTCAGTAGCTGAGTGGATAACGCCATGGCGTTTGAAGCAAATGATCCTGGGTTCGAGTCCTGGAGTGAACATCAACTCTGAGATGCTCGTACATCTAGCAGAATAGTTCCAAGTAGGACGAAACGCGCGTCAAACTGGATTCCACTACTAGCCACTATCCATCTTTGCAGACAACTTAATCACTTAATTCTTACATTTAACGATAGTAATTAGTACTTATTTTATGTAATCTATACCAGATTTATGTGAAAGAATCAATACTTTTGTCACATATTGCTTAACGTGTCCTGAAACCGATTACATTGATTCTGAGGATTACAACTAGAAATAAAAGTCAAACCAACTGTCAATGATATGTCAACTTGTGCTATATCTTAATGTGAAATCCTATATTCACTACATAATTTTTCATTCAAATGCTATTTTGATATCATCAAATTCAATGCACTTCTTCGCAAACCCCTAAGAAACCATTCTCGGTCTTCTCATTGGAGTAACCAGTTAAGCCAATAAGCAGGAAATTCGTTTATGCCTATTGGAATCGAACACTAGACAGTAAAAAGAACTTAAGCCTAGAATAATAGACAGGGGATTGGAACTATATAAAAAGCCTTATTCCCAAGCTTAATCTGGGTAAAGCAATTATATGTACAAGCATGAATGACTCTTGAGCTACGGAGGTTTCTAGAAACATGTTGGAATTATTAATGGAACCGATCATTTTCAAATCAGTATTGAACATGTAATTCATTGTTCATTCCTGGAACTCTCCAAGACGTTTTTATTGAACACTGAATAGACGATGTACTTTCAGACTCTTTTCCAACTAATGAGAACGTATCTAATGTATTCCCTATGGACCCTTAAATCAATAATTGGTATATATATATATGTATGAGTTACCTTTAACCACTCTAGGTGTAACATTTCTTTCAATTGGGGTTATTTTATAACTTTGAAGATTTTCACCAGTTACTGTATTCCTGTATACTAAGATAAACCAATAATAATAAAATAAATAAGAATGATATTTATTAGAAATTATTAACAGTATACATTATGAATTGATTTTGCCACCGAATGCCCTGGTATCGCTGAGAGTGAGGAGAGTTCGTTCTCTCTTTATAAATGCTCTCACATGGCCATGCGAATACAGCCTCTGCCTCAATTGTTGGTCACTGGCTACCATTGGGTTGCATATCCTTACGATGCTCTACTACCTTGTGGATCAGATCTTTAGGTCAAAGGCTCCGGATGTGTCTCCTTAAGAAAACCACCTACGTTGATCTGGGCACCTGGACAGTATCGCATCCTTCTCGCTAATCGAATGAGATACGTGTGGCGCATATATATCTGGAGCCCCTTTGTACTAATATTTATGTGTTTAAATAAATAAAATAGAAAATACGATTTCTCAACAATCTCAATCCATAAAATGAAGTATCAATAAGTCTAAACACTTTAGATGGTTTGATAAAACTCATAACTCATTGTATGGTTCAATGAAACTACTGAATTAGTATGCAGTAGTAAACAAATTCAACTTTATATCACGATACAATCATTCAATGTTATCTATTTTTACTACAGACGTAGTTGCACTTCACATTGATTCGGCTAGAAAGTATCAGGCTAACATTAAATAATAGTCTTATATTCCCTCTCTCTCTCTCTCTCTTTCTCAGCAACAAACAATCTCCAGATAATGCCAACTCATGATTTATCCAAACCTTATATTAGTAATTTTCAATGACTCTGGACTAAGTAGGTCAATCGTCGATAAGTTGATCGATAGAAGCGAAGATAACTGGATTCTAGTGTCAGAGTAACCATTAACACCGGAATCTAAGTACACCCAGCCAAAGAATCCTAAACAGGACGAAGTATACACTATGCACATGAATGTCAGATATATATATAGAATATATGAATGCTAATAACGTATTGAAAACACAAGTGAGAACTGTATTGCGAAAACGCGGAACTGAATGCGACGATATACTTGACGTATTCATAAGCCTACTTCTTTAATACACATAATAGCTAGTTTAAGGTCAGCCAGTCAGCTACAACGTAGGACCAGGCACATTTATGCATCGGTCCAAGTCACCATACCTCGTTAGCACAACAAGATGAACACCAAATTCATAAAAGTAGTTAATTTAGTGGTGGTAATATATAAAAGAAAGATTGTATATGAGGATATAGTATAGGAAGGAAGACAGATCTGGAGCAATTCTAATCTCAAGGTTTAAGGGAAGATAAAGAGTGTGTACACCTGCGCCATTCTGGTCGATTCTGAGCCATGTCACACAGAGTCTCCAACCATTGGTTACGATAATCACACAGACCCCAACCAAGTAGTCTGCATCTACCAACATGGCTCAGACTAAAGATTAGTGACTTTAAGCACTGATGCCACGTTTCGGTTTGACCGCCCCTAACTCTCTTCCAACCATCCCCAATAATAATCAGCGTTGAGCGTCATGGTAATCGGTGTTCAGGCATACGTAACACGTGGCCCAACCATCTCAGTCGATGAAGATTCATCACCTCATCAACTGATTTACCATCATTTCCTAATACCTTGCGTCTAACCTCACTATATTACTTACCCAGTAACCCCAGCAGATGCAAGCAACATTTCTAAGACATATGTGGTGAAGTACTAGTAACTTACGAGTATCTTCTACTCTTAATGGCCACGTTTCGAAGCCGTAAAGTAGAACAGAGAGAACTGCTGTACAGTTTAAGATACCTTGTATTAGTTTGAATTATTTCATTGTTTATACATTTGCATAATTAAGTTTGGAAAATATATTTTTCTATTCTCACTGATCTATTTTCACTTTCTTAACCATTGTAACAGAAAGTAATTAAACCAATATGAATATCACAGTCCTCCAGAACATGAGTTGTGGGCCTGGAAGATCTAAGAATGTCAAACTAAATGAACAAGATTCGATTCCATCAGTAATTCTAAGAATGTAGGTACACTTTGCTGGTGAGTGTCGAATAGCATGAAATGTAGGTCAACCATAGTTTCTTCTTTACTACATTCAAAAACTTAACTACATTTGATTATGATTCTCAACATGGTGTTATCTTCTCTATCTTCCACTTACCATAAGGTTTAGCTGTACGTGGTCTCTCTTCTTGTGATACCATGAAAGCGTTAACATTTTCACCATTTAATGGATTTGAACTTTTAATTGGTGTACGCTTTTTTGATATTTTCACTTCAGAATTATAATCATATGTTGTACAATTTTCACCAGTTATAGCATTACGTGAAGGTTCTAAAAAAATAAAGAAGTCATTAAAAACAAGAATCCATCAATATGATAAGTCAATAAGAACTCCATATGAGTGTAAAGAAGGCTCGTTGGCAAACTCTAGGAAGCCTCAAGAAGCCCAGAAGGAGCTGAAGACATTCCATCCAATCAATACTAGAGGAATATTCTAGAATGTCGACGTGTAGCTTCCCTATTGAATGAATAAGAATGACCCCCTATATGCCTATTGGCTGTCAGAAATGATGATTTAATTTCAGCCAAAAAACTATAAATACATGAGATTTCTGTACTATATTTTGACACTGTTTAGGGGGAATAAAAGTTCCTACTTACTAGTCTTCTGTCTTCTATCTTGCGAAGTTGCGGGTTCTATAGTTCAAGTAGACTAGTAGTACGCGGCATATAACAATGAGAAGCATTATTCCCAGGAATTATTTAGATAACTAGAAGCCAAAAATAACCGACGAGCTTCGTAACAATATTTCCCCTCGTAATATTATATAAGACAGGTTCAAATCATATGGAAAGCATAAGTCACATCAAGAATACAGACACACCTTGGTAATTAGCATGAACCAGTAACTAGCAATGGTTCGAGAATCCCTATTGATGACCGCTGAATACTTAAAATGAAACAGACTGCATAATGGTACTCCCCTGTCGTACGCTTGGTAATTTTGTTTGACCGAAATCCTTTTCTTTTTGATTAAAAGTTATACTATTTAGTAACACTCAGTAGTTCATGTTACCATCGATCATTTTTGATTTTATGCATTCGAAATAGATTACCGATAAGTCAAGTGGAAACCATAATTCATTTTCCATAATCAACAGTAACTGTTTGACATGAAGTTTCTATTTCTAAGGATCTAATAACACTATTTTTTTCCGGTTTTCTCCTTGACGAACTTCATCTGTAGCTGTTCTAGGTCTACTGTTGGTCCTAAGCCCGGGAAAAGGAGAAGGGTAGGACATAGCGGTCGGCAACCCCATCCCGTAGAAAACAACTTCGCTAAAATTGCTAACCAGTTTTCTTTGACCGTGAATCAATATACCTAGACACCTCATTATTTGGGATAAACAGTAGGTTAGCTTTATATTTGACATCGGTTAGAGTCTACTGAAAACTACATAACTACATAATAGTGTGTTCCATAACACCTTCATCAAGGTCCTGAAAGTCTTGTATACAACACAAATCATTCTTATTGTGAATGCTGAAATGTTAGCCAGACAAACTTATACTATTGATAGGTAGCAACAAACGTTCGCGCGCGAAAGAGAAGGTCCTGGGTTTGAATTCCGCGTGCAGGATCTTCTATGTGCTATATTGAGAAGCCCCATAATAGGACGAAACGGCCGTCTAGTTCGTTCAGGTTTTCAATGATGTTCTTACATTGATCAATTCATGATCATAATCAAATACTCAGCAATCTTCATAACTCCTTATGAATATTTAAAAAAATAATTTGATTGTCATCACTTACCTCGTTGTACACGTTTAATTGGAGATTTTAATTCAGGTGAAACTGTATAATTTTCACAATTTTCTCCCGTGAAAATATTCTTTGTGGAAACTGATTTATTGAATATAAAGAAAAAGAAACATGAAACTTCTACAATCAAAAATTACCTTAACATAACTATACCCTCGTTGAATTGATATTCTTCAAATATCAGAAGAGGTTTTTTGTGGAGATTTCAGTAAACATATAGTTGAAATCATGAATCAATTGAAGCTAGACCACCATAGAAAACCTAGAAGCACTGGTTAGAATCTCACGAGGCGGGATCGTGGATGCACACTACTGAGGAGTCCCATACTAAGACGAAACGGCTGTACGATGCTTCCAGGTTTTCCATGATGGTCTAACTTCAATTGACTTATGATCTCAACTATTGATATTACTATGATATCCACAAAAACCCCTTCTGCTAATAATCAAATGCTCACTAGTGACTAGCTTCAAGAGATATTTCCTGGTGTTCTAATGAGAAGTAGTGACCAGTGGATTACAACCAGGTTCTATTGTGAGATATAATCTCACTGAAGACAATGGTGGATAGTTGCTCACTTTCATGGATTGGTTGAAGTTAGACATTAACACCGTTGGATGCAGGTCGGGTCAGTGGTCCAGAGGTTAAGCGCTCTCGCGTGAGATTAATAGGTCCTATATTCTTCAAATAGTTAAGAGCTTCATTTTAAACTATTTTCTGTATATTTAAGCCTATTTCATGTAACATAAATAAAATATATATTGGTTAGGGAATATTTATCATCTATTTAGTCGATTTTGTCGGTTTAATTAAAGGGAGTTCACTGTAAGAAGTCTTTCACTATCGTTCATCTCTTTACATAACAAAACATTCAACATAACTAATTAACGGGTAAACTGTTTTACATTATGATATCAGTATTGTAAGTAAAGATTCAGTTGATTAAGGGAACGGTGATCTACAACAAAATGACTTTATTTTGCAAACCCAAGGTCCGAGAGAGAAGTCGTACTGCTGACTATACAGAGATATGACAGCCTTAAAGTGGTTCCTTCAAATAACCAGCATAACGGCGATACTGTCTTCCCACAAGGAAGAGTGAGGTTAGAAAAGGTCGACCTTCAAAATGCACACCTCACCTTATCTCCCATCTTTGGCGGTAAGGTCTCAACAAGCCTCAAGCAGTTGTTCCTTTGGCCACTACGGTCATGCTCTCAAATCACTAAGACCACTTCTAATCCGATTTTATTTTTAGGTACCTCTAGAAGAACTCCTCCATGGTTTGGGCGACCGGGAAGTGATAAACACCCTCATTCTTCTGACATCACTCAAAATCCCTCTATTCATAATCAATTTCCCCTTCCGGTAACAAGTATCAACAGTTGTCGTGGTTACAACGAGGTACAAGGACTTCATGATTTGAATATATCATTCAGTGTTCAGTGATTATTGTTATACACATTAACTGATTCAATTTCCGTCTCCGTACCATTTTTCTATCTCGGTTCTATATATGCCAAAGAATATTTTCGAGTTCCTAACTAGTAATGTCATCACAATGTTTTAACCGTCTAAACACACTCATTGAAAGTAAATAATTTAAAATATGACACCGGACTTTAATGGCGACGTCGAGGAAGTGGTCTTAGAAAGTAAATGACAAGTCTTTAGCTAAGGAGGATGCAAATGATATAAATGAATGATTTAGTACGAAAAATCTCAAAAGATTCGAGTCATAACTAGGAGTTCATGTTAGGATTTAAAATTAGGCGATAGAATCAAGACTTGTGGTTACCATAGGCATCGGGGTTAAAGTGAGTGGGTTATTTGTGGCCATATTGTATGATACTTTTGTTGATAAGGTTTTTCTAACTTAAAATATCATTAACCTATCAATTACCATTAAAAGACATACATCATATTCGATAATAATCACGTTCTCATCATCAGTGAAAAGGGGCAATTCATCTAGTTCTTTAACGTTGTTGACATGATTCAATGTAGATTCTCAGTTGAGTATCATTTGATAGTTGCATTACATTACTTCATAAAGTGAATGTTGTATAAGGGTGTTGTAATATTCTTGAAAAGAATAAAACCACATAGCAAATTTTCTATGTTACATGGCTACAGAGATTTGACAAGAAACTTTGATTGATTTAGTTTCAATACTAGTTAGCATTAGTCAAGAAAATATTAAGTTTAATCATATGAGAACTAGCGTTTCTTGCACTATTCTGTTGCATTTGAAAAGATAAAGAGATCGTTTAGGATTGGTGTATGGCAAAACGATCAACAACTGAACAACAAGACAAGCTAAACTATTCACTGTGCCCCAGAGAAATTCCATTGTCTTCAGCAACTCAGTTGTTGGGAATTTCATCACTTCTACTAAATTTGTAGATAAGGAAATCCCAGGATCAATGTAAGTGATAGTTCAGTGATTAAAGCCGAATCTTGTTGCATTTACTTAGAACTGGTGTTACTATATGGTCTAAATTGCCATTCCAATGTATAATTTGTTCTATTTTTGACTATTTTCCTATTGTGATTTTAAATTGGTCAAAATCGAAATCAAGTCGTTTTTTACTAGATAACGGTAGTTGTTTGGATTCTCAGACTAGATTTCGATGCTTCTTAGACAATGTGCCTTTGAAGGCTAAAAACTAATCGTATTCATTGCCTATTGTTATCGTAGAAATGCACGCTGTCATATATCGAACGCTTAATATGATTACTCATAATCAATTTTATATGCAAAAATGACAAATCGGTTCATGAGATTGCGAGCCTCCATCTATTGAGTTTGGACATGTGTTAGGTAACCCCAGCCCCCAAATGGCCTGGTACGGCCCAGAGTGAGGAGAGTCTGCTCTCCCTCTCCAAATTCTCGCTCATGGTCACGCGTATACTGCCTCTGCAGGGAAGTCCTACTTACTGCCTTGTCTTACTACGGGTCTTGTTTACAAAATTGAGAGGACGAAAAGCGAATGTCCGGCGCTTTAACCGGGTTGGTGGACAAGGCGAGTCCATCTAGGGAAGTTGGAAAACCCTGATTCCAAACCAATGGTTCACATGGGCTCCAGTATTTTGAGGGAACAAATGGCGTATGAATCAATCGTTGGTTACCGGCTATCATGGGACTGCGTCTCCTTATTATGCTCCACTGCTTTGTGGATCAGACCTTTAGGTCAAAGGCTCCGAGTGTGGTCTCCTAAGAAAACCACCTGCTTTGCTTTGGGCACTTGGGTAATATCACAACCCTTACAAAAATCTCATTTGATTTGTGCGACGCATATATATCTGGTACTTCATGGTACCACTACGTATGTGTGTAAATAAATAAATAAATAAATAAGAGGGAGAAGACAAGATTCAACTGAGGAAAAGTATATTCCACAAGCAGTCGGAAGCCCGAACAAACAAGCACATGACTCAAGCGTATATAAACAGTATAAAAATGTCCTTGAAAAACACCACAAAATAGCGTGTTAAAAGAGGGAACAAACCAATGACACTTAAGGTCCTCCCAAGTGGAAAGTACAAACTAAAAGGTTAAAATGGGTGAGAACTTCAGGTTTTCAAAATAAAATTACAAAATGAGACTTTCGCCAAGTGATTCCTGGAGATCTAGCATCTCCAACAGATTCAATGATGAACCATTTAGTTTCATATTCGAAGACATTGATATTAAACTATTCTGGTTATGTCAAAGGAATTACAATTGTCCATCATTCATCTAGTTCTTCACCATTAGAGAAACATATTACTAACAAGAATAGAAAGTACATTGCATAGCAACATAGTCTATGATATAACTCCTAACCCACCTTTCTATGTAGATAATAAAGTAACAATATTCACAAGACTCTTTTAGACAGGTAACTAAAGACATTCTACAATCAAACTATATTCGATAGAAAAAAAAACAAACATTACTTACCATTTCGTTTGCATACACCATTTTCTCTATTCGTACATCTTTCCTCTGTCATAACAGTAAAAGTTTTCATATTTTCACCAGTTAATGGATTAGTTCTAATACCTAAATAATGATGAAATATTGAATGTAATTGAAAAGTCTTAATAATTCGTGTAACAATTTCATAATTTTGTAAAATATTTTATGCTACTTAAATAACTTTTAAGTAAGCTCAAATTTTAAGATTTGATTTTTGGAGTTCCAGTGAGAAACCGTGAATGATGCTCAGTCGTGTCTGGTGTAAGACAGTTATTCATAGAAGATAATGAAAGATGGTACTTGTAGGTTTTTTAATGGTAGTCTAACACTGGTCAGTTGGCAATCTTTTGAAAAATAGATTTATTAAATGGGTCAACCAAAAGAACCTACGATACTTAAATCTATAAAGTTCGATGAATTCTAAATGTAATAAACAGGTATTTTTTTTGTTGAAAACTTATGAAAAATCTCACATTAACAAATAAAGATAATAGTACTCCCCCTACAATTCAGTTTTTCTATGGTTAATCTTGTCAAGCCCTTTAATTAAGTTATTCAACAGAGAGTATTATTCGGACAGTAACAATTTGTCTATTTCTATGTAAGATCATGTATGCTTGGTCGCATTGGATAGCCTACACATATATTCCTTCCTCTATTTTAGATGCTATTCACTTAAATATCTTTCGATTAATCTATCGCTCTGCCATATATATATATATTATATGTGTGTGCTTGAATCTTACTAACTGCTTTGCTCCTCTTCGATACAGTTCAATTAGACTCTGAATCTGTGTCCTTACTCTCTTGTTTGCTCATATTAGCCTTTCTGGTCAAATTTACTTGATATGTTTGTGGCTTTGTTATTTTCACCATCCAATAATAGACTGTAGTCGAAGCTTTGTGTCGCTAAATGTTTGAAACACTTACAGTGTTTGGCATAAGACGGTAGAACAAAATGGATATTAGTTTGAGGATTATTCCATCTCCCAAGTTCACTAAACTTAGATTTATGGATTGAATAGTGTGAGATTATAGAATTTACTGAGTAATTGTGGACGAACAATAAATAGGAATCACAATTTAAAGAAGTTTCTAGCTGATGTCAGTTTTTGACAAAAACTGTCACCATACCCAAGAGTTCTAATCACAAAGCAGTAGAGGATTTATGATATAGTGAGCTAATAATAAGTAGCCTAATAAGAAGGTCAATCATGGCATTCAAAAGTGACCTAATGGACAAAGAAATTTCATTGACTAAGGAATAGATCAATTTCTTAAGGATTAGATTGGTATATTGTTGAGTCGGCTTCCGAAGAATTTCAACGGAGCCTCCAGAGGCCCAAAAAGAGGCCGAAGAGCTCTAGTCAATCAGAGTATGATGGAACATTCTAGAATTCCATCTATAAATACCCATGATTTTCTGTACAAGAACGATCCTTGGATTAAAGTATTTTCCCTCATACTTGCGTCTTCTCTCTGGTGTTCAAGTTGCTGGGTAGTTCTAGTCTGTGGGTTACCAGAATAGCTTAGGAAACGAATATAGCGTACAATCGGCAAGAATTATCACATATATATACATATATCTGAATGAGTGTTCAGTTTATTAGATAGCACCATATACTATCTCGTTCAAGTAGTCAGTCGGAGGGTTAGCGCGTAGTACACCGTGTATCAATATCAGCTTTCGGACATCATCCATCATAAAAATTTAGGCAACTTAAAGATATTTTTTGATTTCAATTCATATGGTATTGTTTGTTTGAATCTTCCCATTGATGTTTAGGACTGCAATTGATCAGTCCTTTATTGGCATATGTGCATACTATGCGTATTGCCTTAAGTCACAAGCAATATAAGCAAAGATGGATAGTGACTAGCAATGGAATCCAGGACTCGCCTTTCGTCCTATTTGAGACTTTTCAACCTATTGTAAAAGCTGGTGGCTATCAGAACTCAGTTGCTGAGTGGATAACGCGATGGTGTTTGAAGCGAACAGTACTGGGTTCGAGTCCCGGAATAGACATCAACTCTAAAATGCAGGTACATCCAGCTGGTGAGTCCAAAAATAGGATGAGACGCGCATCCTGGATTCCACTGCTAGCCACTATCCATCATTGCTTGTGTTTGATACACCTATAATTAATGTTTCATAGAAAAGTTTTGATTTTTCAATAGTGATTCAATGATCACAAGTTCGTTATCTACCTTATCTACCTTCACTTATACAGTTAAGTAAGATTCAGCTAGAAAAATATTGAAATCTTGAATAAAGGAAATACTAAGAACACTAAAGAATCTTTAGAAATATGATAGTCAGCTTAATCAACAATGAATAAACACATAGAAGTCGATTCAAATTATTGACCAGCCCGAATAATCTCGGACAACTGTAAGATCAAGATTTAGACCAAAGGGAGAGATAATCAAAATAAGGATACTAATAATAATAAATTAATAGTCAAGAAGAATCAATCAAGATTCAGGTCGATAGAATAAGATATTAGTTGAATACTTCACTTCTACCTAAAGTTTATCCTGATGATGTTATTTAGAAGTTCCACCACAATACATTACAATACAAACGTCAAAACAGTTCTACTGTATGGGGCGGAAACTCGGAGAACTACGAAAGCCATCATGTAGAAGATATAAGTATTTATTAACAGTTATCTACGCAAGATATTTCGGATCCGTTGGAGAGAAACTATCAGTAACAACCTACTGTGGGAGACAACGAGCCAGATTGCAACGGAGGAAAAAATCAGGAAGAAGCGCTGGAAGTGGATAGGACACACATTGAGAAAATCACCCAACTGTGTCACAAGACAAGCCTTCACATGGAATCCTGAAGGCCAAAGGAGAAGAAAAAGTTCACAAAACACGTTACGCCGAGGAATGGAGACAGACATTAGAAGAATGAGAAAAACTGGATAGAACTAGAAATGAAGGCCCAGAACAGAGTGGGTTGGATAATGCTGGTCGGCGGCCTATGATCTATTGGAAGTAACAGGCGTAAGAAAAAAGTAAAAGTAATAATGACAGATTAATAGTCAAGAAGTATCAATGAAGATTCAGGTCGATAGAATAAGATATTAGTTATATTTGGATACTTCACTTCTACCTGAAGTTTATTCTGATGATGTTGTTCACAAGTTCCAAAACCAAATTAACCAACAGAAAGAAAGAAACTTTATCAAAAAGGATCCACCTAAACAACAAAATCTTATTCATTATCTCAAAGTCAGGTAAAATTACTGATGTAAATAAAACACTTTTATAGTTGAAATCATTAGTCAATTGAAGCTAGACCACCATGGAAAACCTGGAAGCACTGAACGGCCATTTCGTCCTATTATGGGACTCTTCAACAGTGCGCATCCACAATCCCGCCTCGCAAGATTCTAACCCAGGACCTACCAGTCTCGCGCCAGAGCACTTAACCGATAGGCCATCGAGCCGGCATCCAACGGTGTTCATATCTAATTTCAACCGATCCACGAATTTTGAGAATAAAACTTGACAATTATTCACTTTCATTATTGAATTACTACTGTTTTACTCTTGACGTGTTTGAACTTTACGAGTGATAGATTATTGGGTCATCTAAATTAAAGTCACCCAAATCAAGAACAATAGACTGACAAGTCGTCTCATACGTTTTGTAATACATTTAACATATGAAATCTTGACACTAACACTTTCTAATTCCCCTAGAACTCTTCCACACTTGAACCCTTAAACAGGAAACCAAAATGTGGGAAATACGACAAAAAAAACGTTTTCCAAGTTTAGTTTAGACAAAGAAAGAAAGGATATTTAAAATTTTATATTTGACCTTGGTACCTTTACAGGTACTGCAAAAAGTTATGGGGTTGTGAAAATTGTGAATTCTTTGATTGATATTATGAATCGATCGTTGTTAGACAACCACTGAAAACCTATAAGCACTGGAAAGCCAGTTCATTCAAGCACAAGATTCCTCAGCAGTGTGCATCCACGATCACGCATGGAGAATTTGAACGCAGAATCTTCAGTCTTGCGCGTGACGATCAAAGATGGTCGCTAAATATCGTAGATTGGTTGAAGTTATACAATATCAAAATCGAATGCCGGCTCAGTGGTTTAGAGGTTAAGTGTTCGCGCGCCAGACCAAAAGTCTTCGGCCCAAATCCCGTACGTGAGATCGTGGATATGTACTGCCAGAGACTCCCATACTAGTATGAAACAGCCGCTCAATACTTCCAAGTTTTCAATGATGATCTAACATCGATTAATTTATAGTCTCAATAAAAAAATTCCAGGGTTATTCACATAGTCATAAACGTCGACGTATTTCTCGAAACTACCATATACAGAATCAAACCAGTGATGATTTATGGCTTTGCTAGTCAAAATACAAATTCATTATGTTGTCATGTTGTTTATAGTTTAATATAACCAAATACGTTGGTCACAATCACTGTTTAATGAAACAATCTGATATATTCTACTAGGGATTCTACCTTCATGATGTAAACTAATCAGTAAAAAGAAGCTTTCTATCAAATTTCAGTTTGATTTCAAATTCATTTTCTAAAAACACACACACACACAAATAAACTAACTTTCACACTCTTGACATTCATATAAAAACTGATCTTGTTACCACTAGAAGGCTGTTTTGTCCTAGTGTGGGACTCTTCAGAGGTGCGCATCCGCGTTACTACCTCGCAAGAAGTCACACAGTAAGACGAAACGGCCATCCAGTGCTTTCAGGTTTTCCATGATGGTCTAACTTCATTTGACTCATGAATTCAACCATAAAAAAATCATCACCAATCATTAATTAGAATTTGATATGATTATGGAATGGTTCTTTGTAAAGCTCCACAATAAGTGTGATAGTAGAATTACTTTGTAATATTTCTTCAGCCAAAAACGCTCTGAAAAACACTGAGAAACATCTTATCTGATCAACATTCAACAGAACGTTTTCCACAAACATCTAAGAAGTAACACGTCACATGTCGCCTTCCTGATTGAATGATTACCTATACTTCTATTATGTCTAGTAATGTTCCAGAAAGTTCCGGAAGCCCAAGGTCATATGATATATACTCTAGATTTTCTGTACATAAACGAAACTTTGGAGCAAAGCGTTTTCTTTCATAGTTCACGCCTTATCTCTCGTATTCAAGTTGGTGTGTAGATTTAGCCTGAGGGTTACTGAAGAGTCTAGGTAACTGAATCTAACATTTAATTAGAAATCGTATCACGATAATACTGAAATGTTTTACATGTTGGAACACCAGTTCATTGAATCATTTAAAATGAAGAATAAAGATGTTGAATTAGAATGGGGAAAGCAATATTTTCTCAATATTTTGGACGATCTCAGTGGCCGAGTGGAAAACGCAATGCCAATTGAAGTGAAAGGTACTGCAGTAGAGTCCCAGAGTGAACACCAACTCTGAGATGCAGGTACATCCAGTTGACCAGTCTCAAATAAGACGAAACACGCATCACACTGGATTCCACTGCTAGTCGCTATCCATCTTTGCTTATCATGCTTGTGAATCTAGGCTATATATACGCAATAAGCACAGTATGCACATATGCCAATTACAGACTGACAAGTTACAGTCCTAACACATCAATGGAAAGATTCAAACAAACAATACTAAGTGAATTTAAACTTCACCCCATTGCACAAGGAAGTAGCTACCAGGATTCAATAGCTCAGTGGATAACGTGATGATGATGCTTGAAGCGAAAAGTACTGGGTTCGAGTCCCACAGTGAACATCAACTCTGCAATGCAGGTACATCCAGCTGACGAGTCCTAAATAAAACGAAACGCGCGTCAAACTGGATTCCACTACTAGCCACTATCCATCTTTGTTTACCTTCTATGGTTTAAGACTATCGAATTATTTAATTTAACCAACTTTGAATGTAAAAGAAAAAATTAAGAAATCTTACCAGTAGAACTTTTTGCTCGTCTAGTTTTTCCATTATATCTACCAATTGGATCCCATTCACGATCACCGAAATTTCCTCTTCCAGAAATAGGATCACGTTGTGCTACATATACATACATATATACGAAAAATATATCAATATATAAAGTAGTAGTTATTTGGTATAATCAGTATACTCTTATCAGTATCTATTATGTTTCACACTGGAGACGATTCAAATACATGTATATATGAAAAATTACATGGCAACTCATCATTGATAGATCAGAAGACGTTTTGTGGATATTTCAGTATTTTCATAGTTGAAATCATGAGTCAATTGAAGCTAGGTCACCATGAAATTACCTGGAAGCACTGGATGGCAGTTTCGTCCTATTATGAGAAGCAGTAATCAGTGGAGTTCAACCAAGTCTGTTGTAGAGATATCAAATCACTGAAGACAATTGATAAACGTTTGCTCAACTATCGTGGATTGGTTGAAGTTAGACAATAACACCGTTGGATGCTGACTCAGAGGTCTTTCGGTTAATTGCTCTGGCGCGAGACTGACAGGTCCTGAGTGCGAATCTCGCGAGTGCGGTACCGTAGGTGCGGTCTTCTGAGGAGTCCCATAATAGGACTTATATCTACACAAGTAGTATATAACGATGGTCGGGCATTGAATGTATTTCAGTAGGAGATTGATAACGAAAGAACAGAAACGAAAATGCATAAACAATAAAAATTGGAGACTATGGACTGATATTTGCAGAAGGAACAGTCAAGATTGAGACAATGATTGTTATTTAGCAAATTAACTGTTTACTTTATGGTTGTCAGATTTTACTGAGATAGTCAAATACATTTGACTGTTCACACTTGTCTTCTTGTTCACTACACTAGGTCCGAATCCTACGTGTAAGATAGTGCATATGCATTACTAAGGAGTCCCACAATAGGACGAAACTGACGTTCAGCACTTCCAAGGTTTTCATAACGGTCTAGCTTAAGTCAACTCATCAAGTCATTCATTAAAATTATTTTCATAGTTGAAAGCGTGAGTCAATTGAAGTTAGACCACCATGGAAAACCTGGACGGCCGTTTCGTCCTATTATGGGACTCCTCAGCAGTGTGCATCTACGATCCCGCTCTCGCGAGATTCGAACTCAGGACCTACCAATCTCACGCCAGATCACTTAACCGGATAGACCAATGAACCGGCATTCAATGGTGTCAATGTCTAACTTCAACTTATCCACGAAGTTGAGCAACCGTTCACCTTCCAAGTTTTCCATGGTGGTCTAGCTTCAATTGACTCATGAATACTAAATCTCCACAAACCCTCTTCTGATTAATATAATTACCATTTCTCTAAACCCTTATTCTGACAGTAAATTTTCGTTTGTTTGTTTTGTTTTGTTTTGTTGCCTAAAGCCTTTTTTAATCTTCTTTGCTTATTCCTAATTTGTCTGAAAAATAAAATCAATAATGAGAGACTATGACAATTCGAATTGAAAAATCGAATATTTGTAACCCATTGATTACATGGTGGGTTGTTTTTCTCCTTTTTTTTTTCTTCCGCTTTGGCAACATAATTTGCTCGTTTATCAATTGTTGATGAATCATTATTTAAAATAATAAATATACTCAAAGTTTGATGAATCATTCTAATCAAATTTAAGGGTAGACATTAACATTGTTGGATGCCAGCAAGTTTAGTGGTTAAGAGGTTAAGTGTCCACGTGCGAGAACAATAAATCCTGGATTCGAATCTCACGAAGTGGGATTGTAAATGCGTACTGTTCAGGTGTCCCATAATTGAACAAAATGGTCATCCAGTGCTTTCAGGTTTCCCATGGTGGTCTAGCTTCTTTTGACTCCTGATCTTAATTATTGAAATCATTATAATATCCATAAAACCTCTCCTGGCATTATAGTTTAAACAAATCGACGAGATAATAAATACATGTGACTGACAAGGAAATGTTTATCATCTCTAAGGATTAAGACATACACGTTCGGTAGCTTAATTCTCTTTGGTATAGATATATGAATCAGTACAGGTTAGTTAATAAATTTCTTTTTTTTTTCACTCTCAGCACAGTCGTTACTTGAGTAGCTGACTGAGTTCGTATATAGACAGATTAAGTATAAGTATCAATAGTCAGGGTCCACATATCGAAACCAGTAACTATAAGTTTGTTAGTGGCTAGTGAAAGATAGATTAATTCTGAGATGGTTAAGAAGATTTATAGCTCAGGTGGATGATTTTGATGGAGTTTTGTTTTTTGAACTGGACGACCAAACCATCCAGCTCAGAGAACAAAACTCCATTGTAATTAAAACAGTGGATGTATAGAGGTGCCTAGGTAAACAGTTTAATTAGCCAAACTAAGATCTAAGACATTATCAATCTATGTGTAGTTTAAAATTGATAACTGAATAAGGAATTACTTTGAATATGAGATGGTGGAGAAGATTTATTGCTCAGGTGGATGTTTAAGAGGTAGACAATGACAGTTTAAAGGTTAACAAGAACCACTCAAGATCTAGATACACGGGATAAACTATGAGTCACATCACTTCTACCTGAAGTTTGCACTGATGATGTTGTTCAGAGCAACAGTAGAAGCTCTATGACCAAACTATCCAGCTCAAAGAACAAAACTCCACCCTAACTACTTTAAATATACTCATGTTTAATGAGGTTCTTATCATCGGCTTTATAGTAATATACAGTAATGATGAATTCATAGTATGAGGTTGTGAAGATTGTTGAATTTCAACCTTATCGAGTGTAATGCAGTTATTCACCGAGGACAATGGAGGATAGTCACACTATATCGTTGACTGATTAAAGTTAGACATCAAAACCGTTGTGTGCCGGCTCAGTTGTCCAAAGTTTAAATGCTCTCTCGCCAGACTAAAATGTTCTGGCTTTGATCCCCGTTTCAGGATCCTGGATGTGCTCCGTTAAGAAGTCCCACACTAGAACGAGATGGCAGTTCAATGCTCCAAGGTTTTCCCAGATGGTCCAACATTGATCGTTTCATGATTTCAGCGAGTGATGAATTCGTTAATAGCTCAATAGTTTGTCTGATAAGCTAAAATAAGCAATTCACTCAGTTGGTCAATTTTCATATGAATTCTCTTCTATTATCATAATAGAAATGTTTTTCTCAACTGTAATGGATAAAAGTAAGTGTCAAAAGATGTGCTACATGAAGTTTTCATTCTAGTGTACATTTCTCTGACAGTGGGCATTTCAAGGCCTCACATAGTGATCAACCACAGAACCTTTCAAATCCAATCAGAGAACCCTGGTATTTTTGAATCATGTCGTCGTTACTTAATCCTTTCTAACGCCATCTTCTACTATTACTAATCTGAGGTTTTCCGCAAAGATTTTATCTCGTTATGTTTATTTAGTATTATTACTTAGTTGCCAAGATATTCCAGGCTCTACTCTATTTACAACTAATTAAAATTATCTTCACTTAGTATTGTTCGTTTGAATCTTCCAATTCATGTTTAGGACTGCAACTGGTCCGTCTCTTATTGGCATATGTGCATATTATGCGCATTGCCTCGATATTGCCTTAATTCACAAGCATTATAAGCAAAGATGGATAGTGACTAGCAGTGGAATCCAGTTTGACGCGCGTTTCGTCCTATTTGGTGTTTGAAGCGAAAGGTACTGGGTTTGAGTTGCAGAGTGAACATCAACTCTGAGATTCAGTTACATCCAGCTGACGAGCCCCAAATAGGACGAAACGCGCGTCAAACTAAATTCCACTGCTAGTCACTATCCATCTTTGCTTATAAACATTATCTTGTATCGTGCAATCAATTCAATAGTTTGATCAGTTATATTATTCCACGTAGAGAACTGTCAACTAATTACAGTTCAACTATAGATTATAATCGTTTATTTCATCCATTTTTTGTAATTTCGAACCATCTCCCTCCCCCCTAATTCTATTCTTGTACATTAACTAAAATGAATTGGCTACTATGGGAAATATCCCAATATAATCCTCATTAAAATGGTAACCAATTAAATGGAATTATTGATCTTATCAGTATTGATTTTAATTTACATGTTTGTTTGTTTTATTCGATATGATAGAGAATTGACAAACAATTCGTGAATAGTTGAAATCATGAGTCAATTGAAGCTAGACCACCAAGGAAAACCTGGAAGCACTGGACAGCCATTTCATCCTAGTATGGGACTCCTCAGCAGTGCGCATCCACGATGTCGCTTCACGGGATTCGAACTCAGAACTTACCAGTCTCGCACCAGAGCATTTAACCGAATATTTTTTTCTTTTTTTGTTTCAATTACACTATTTGTGTATTTTTTTCCCTCGTAATAGGGATTGGATTGTTGACAAAACAATGAATGTTTGTACAATTAGGTGTAATTATATTTTGATTAGAATTTTGGATAGTAATTATTTTATATAGTTCAGATCATGAATCAATTGAAGCTAGATCAACATGGAAAACCTGGAAGCACTGGAAAGCCGTTTTGTCCTATTGTGGGGCTCTTAAGCAGTGTTCATCTACGATCCCGCCACGCGAGATTCAAACCCAGGACCTATCGGCTCAGTGATCTATCGGTTAAGTGCTATGGCGCGAGACTGGAATCGGGTTGGAATCTCGCGGGGCGGGATCGTGAATGCGCACTGCTGAGGATTTCCACAATAGGACGAAACGGCTGTCCAGTGCTTCCAGGTTTTCCCTGATAGTCTAGCTTCAATTGATCCATGATCTCAAATATATATAATATTGCTAAAATCTCCACAAAACCCTCCCTCTGATAGTGATTATTTATTATTTATTTAAACATTGGTACAATGAGGCATCAAATATATATGCACCATACAAATCATTTGAGTAATGTAAGGGTTGTTCTACTATTCGGGTGCTTAAACCGAGGCAGGTAATTCTCTTAGGGGGCTACTCTGCAAGGATTTGACCTAGAGGTCTAATCCACAAGGTGGTGGAGCAACATCAGAAGATACAGTTCCGCGGTAGTTGGTGATCAACAATACGTTCATATGCCGTTTGTTTCCTTAAGATCCTGGACCCGATGTACACCATTGGTTTGGAATCAGGGTATTCCAACTCCTCTAGATGGATCCTCTATATCCACCAACCAGGTCGGTGCACTGGATATTCGCTTTTTGTCCCCTCAATTTCGTAAACAACAACTTTGTGGCGAGAATGCAGTGAGTAGGACTTCTGTGAAAGTGGCTGCGTACGTGTGTAGCAAAACTGAAAAAATTGGGTGTATTTTAATTCCTATTACCAAGGACATATGTCAGCTAGAGTACCGAGGAAACGTGTTTTAACTTAAAGAACTTCATCAATATTTTATCTCGCTTAACTCTTTTCTTAGGAAACATTTTTGAGTTATTGAGTCAGATATTAGATACACCTGGATGTACCTGCATTACAGAGTTGATGTTCACTTCAGGATTCGAACCCGATGACATTCGCTGGGTGGACATCAACTCTGTGATGAAGTTACATCCGGATAGTGAGTTCCGAATGGGACGAAACGCGTGTCAAACTAGATTCCATTTTCTATCCACTATCCATCTTTGCTTATTTAAGGTTTTACTTCTTCATTACACTATTTCCAAGTATCACACTTTAGATATTCAGTCACTGTTTGACATACAATTTGGTAGTGTTTGATGGTCCTTTTTTTCAAAACAAAAGTAATGATAACCACTTTAAAAAATGATTATATGCATCTTTATAGGAAGTACCATTAAGTTTTATGACTGAATACAATTTTTCTTTAAGTAAAATAGAACAAAACTTACGTTCTCTAGGAGTTCCACTTCGTGAACCATTAGTTGTACGTAATCCATCGACTTCATCACCAAGATCACCAGTTAATGCAATTGGATTACGTGTTGGCTCTACAAATTGTTTAAATAAAAAATGATGAATACAAATGACGAAGGAAATGATATAAGTATGATTTTTTCCTAGTCGAAATCAGGAGTCCATTGAATCTAGACCATCATGGAAAACCTGAAAGCACTGGACATACGTTTCGTCTTCTTTTGGGAGTCCTAAGCAGTGCGCATTTACGATCCCGCCTAGCGAGATTCAAACCCTACCGATCTCACACGCGGACGCTTAACCTCTAGACCACTGAGTCAGCATCCAACGGTGTTCATATCTAATTTCAACCAGTCGACGAAATTGAGCAACCGTCCATCATTGTCTTCAGTGATGATGATATCTTCTATATACTTGGAACCTAATTTCTATCAAGCAATCCGATCAAATTTCGACGATTATCCTGGTAAATGAGATCAACGACTGAAAAAACTAAAATGACACCGTTATATCTAGGAATTGGACGGTAGTGATGAATGTTGAGAGATTTAAATTTCTTCTAACTGATACGTATAACTCTTTAATGATTATTGCCAAGCGATAGAACCCAAAAAAGGGTGCAAGTGTATACAAAACTTGATATTCTATGAAAAACGAATGTCTCAATTGTATAGGAACAACTCAGAATTGATATGGAGAGCTAATCAGAAGTAGCGAAAGATCAATCGATGGCAGATAGAAGTGTCCTCAAAGTTAACTGCATTTCATTAAGGTCAGCAGGTCAATTTCCTAAGGATAGAGTGTTATATAAAAAGAATGAGTAGTTGTGTATTTTATTCAGTAGCCCAATATACTTTCTCGTTCATTCTTGTGTTCTCTTCCAAATAGTCAGTTAGGGGGGTTAGCGCTTAGCACACGGTGTATCAGTATCAAATTTTGGACACTGGACGTCATAACAAGTATTTATAGTGACGAAAGGATTCAAGAAAATTAGCAAATTTAAAGTATTAACAACTAAACGAAACGAATGAACGTCGTGTGAAAATCTGATTAAGAAAAAATGTGATTGTTGTTAACGCTACTGAAAAGAAATTCATATCCGGTAACAGAAACTTGATAACTTGAGATCTTCTTAGCAGACAGTTAACTGATGATCTTAAAGATGATAAGCTGTGAATGTAATTGAGGCAACTTTGTTTCAATCAACTCAATATTGTAAGTAAAGATGGATAGTGGCTAGCAGTGGAATCCAGGACGCGCGTCTCGTTTTTTTTTCAAACTCGTCATCTGGATGTATCTGCACCTCAGAGTTGATGTTCACTCCAGGACTCGAACCCAGTACCATTCGCTTCAAACGCTCCACTCGGACACTGACTACTGATAATCACTTGCTTGTGCAATGGGTTGAAGTTTAAGTTCATTTAGCATTGTTTGTTTGAATCTTCCTATTGATGTTTAGGACTGCAATTGATCGGTCTCTTGTTGTCATACGGACTGTCTCGATATTGCCTGAAGTCACAAGCTTTATAAACAAAGATGGATAGCGGCTAGCAGTGGAATCCAGTTTGACGCGCGTTTCGTCCTATTTGGGACTCGTCAGCTGGATGTGCCTGCATCTCAAAGTTGATGTCCACTCTGGGACTCTAACCCAGTACCGTTCACTTCAAACACCATCGCATTATCTACTTAGCTACTGAGTCCTAATAGCCAACTCTAAGATGCAGGTACATCCAGCTTACGAGCCCCAAATAGGACGAAGCGCGTTAAACTGGATTCCACTGTTAGCCACTATCCATCTTTGCTTATAAAACTGTCAGTTTATTGTTTACTCAATACTAGTAGTGATAGAAGACAAATTTCAAACACAAGGACAGTATTATACAGAATTCTGATATTAAACCTGAAGGTAGTTAATCAGTCTGTATTTTATTGATTGATGAAAACAACATTCCTGTTATGATTATCTATTGACGTCTGAATGACTGTACATTGTAACTAAGGTTGAAGTAGACCAAACACATTGAAGGCACATACATAGATACATACATATACATGGACAATCATAAATAATTTGACATTTCAGTTTATCCTATTCATTTTGATCAGCCATAACAACAACAACAATGAAAGTGTTTCACTTGCCAAGTTAATTTTATTTTCTACCATTCAGGGGACAATATAAGATGATAATAAACCAAATTTATGGCCATTGCCAAAAATGACATCGAGAAATCAATGAACTAAATGATAAGTTATAAGTGGAAATATTGTTGACTAGAAGAGAGATCGAAGAGGTACGTTTCATCCTCTATGGGACTCGTTAGCCAGATGTACGTGTATCACATAGTTGTTATTCACTAAAGGATTCAATTCATGTGCCATTCGCTTCAAGAGAAATCGCACAATTCATTTAAGTATTGAGACCAGATAGACACTATCTTTTGCAATGGAATGTATTTTGATACAAGTACATTTAGGTGACGAGTCCCAAATAAAACGAAACGCGCATTATGGATTCCATCATCATCTCCGCTTATAATGCTTCTGACTCAAGGCAATATTGTAACAATCGGAACAGGATGAATATATACCCAAGACAGACTGATTAATTACAATCCTAAACATTCATGGAAAAATTCAGACAACTAATACAAACGTGAATTAAATTCTAAATTGATTATTGAACCATAATACAGTCATTAAAATTTATTGAGACATTCACGATAAAGGGGATCAATATTGTTCAGAGTTGTACATCTACATTCCCGCCTAGAGTAATAAAGTGCTTTCATTCTTCACTGATTATCAGTCTAATAACATTTCATAATATTAGAAGACTAAACAATTCATAATAATGTCAGAAGGGGTTTTGTGGATATTATAGTAAATTTTAATAGTTGAAACCATGCATGAGTTGAAGCTAGACCATTATGGATAACCAGAAAGAAATGTACGGCCATTTCGTCCTATTGTGGGACTCTTAAGCAGTGCGCATCCACGATAACACCTCGCGAGAGTTCAACCAGGTCTGTTGTGAGATAGTAACTCACTGAAGACAATGGTGGGTGTGTCGCTCAATTTTGTGGATTAGTTGAAGTTTGACAATAACACCATCGGATACCGGTTCAGTCGCCTAGACGTTAAGTTGTTTGCGTGCAAGACCGATAGATCCTAGGTTAGAATATCACGAGTCATGATCATGGGTGCATATTGCTGAGGAGTTTCACAACAGGACGAAACGACCATCCATTGCTTTCAGTTTTTTCCATGGTGTTCTAGCTCCTATTGAATCATGATCTCAACTATTAAAAATTCATAATAAGTAAACAAAGAGTGTTTGAATTTTATGATCAAGCAATTTGTTTGCTACAGTATAAATTTAGATAGGATTCCAGAAATTTTTATGGGAAAAAGTAACTGATGATGGTTCCCATTATAAGATTTGGTTTATTAATCAAAGTGAAATTGATCATATTTACACACATTATGCTAAATTGTTTGACTCTAGATATATGATCAATGCAATGACCAATAAACGCTCTTGGGATAACGCTCTCTCTAACCAAAACATAAAGGAGTTATGTTCAACTGGAGGAAGAATTCTGTATAGTAACTATTATTATTATTAGCTTTATTCAATATTATATTTTTTGGAACAATATCAAATTCTCCGTACAATGTATTTCAACAATTTTCCATTTCTTACTTCTTCGTCGATACTGACAATAAACATTGAATGATCACTAGTTAGAAGTTTGCTGTCCAATTAATCGACATCTCAATAATGTACGCTGGTTTCACTGCATATTCCCAGCAAACACGATATCTCTGGTTAGGCCATTTGTAACATTTACAGTGAAAGGTTGTACACTTTTCAGAAATGCACCTGAATAGCTATAATGATGATGATGATGATGATGATGATGATGATGATGATGATGATGATGATGATGATGATTTGGATGATGATGATGATGATTTGGATGATGATGATGATGATTTGGATGATGATGATGATGATGATGATGATGATGATGATGATGATGATGATGATGATGATGATGATGATGATGATGATGATGATGATGATGATGATGATGATGATGATGATGATGATGATGATGATGATGATGATTTGGACGATTATAATGATGATGACAGGAACAGGTAGCCGAAATATTTGAGCAGGCCGCCTATATATCCTATATCGTTACACAACAACTGTCTATTGATTAAGGGGATTCCTTCAACGGATTTTAATCTGTACAATCAACCCTTTCTAAAACATAGTTCAACGTTTTCTTGATTGTTTAATCCCTTACCAATAAAATACAAGTCAGAAACAAAATGAATAATATATTGACTTACGTTTACTTTTCTTAATTGTATGTCCATTATTCTTACATACTGTGGCATTATCAACATCCCATGCTATTAAGGTTGTATTGAAAGCTATATGTTGAGAGAAAATCAAAAGATGACATTTGATGAAGTAGTAAACGTAATAGTCTTTAACATACACTACAAATGTATGACTCCACGAGTAAGCGAAGGAATGGGCCAGTGATAATATGTGTGTGTGTACATTAAGTTATCGTATTGTTCTATGTAAGTAGAATAGATCTAGACTGAATTCATCAATCCATACTATATCCAATCAATGAGAATGAGGTAAAACAAGAAAGTTATTAAAAAAATATTCTATGAAGTAAAACCTATTACTCTCATCATCATCAGTGTCCTAACGAACAATTCGCTCTTCGCTGAAATACATAATGAGATTGTGGACACTGGAGGAAATTCTATCATGAATTAGGATCTGATGATTATATATTCAGATAGGAAATGATAACCATCTAGCTGAAAGAACTCAACAAGAAATGCAGTCATCATGGCTTGTTCATTCGTTGTGTTTCTGTGAAGATCTCGTTGTTCGATTGGATATTTGTTTCTAAGTATCAAGTATATATCATAAGTCATTTCTAAATCCCTATATCTATAATAATGACTTATATAGATTGACTATCGTAATCAGTGGTTGAAAACTCTAGGTGACATGGCTCAGAATTGATCACAATGATGTAGATGTATACACTCTTTATCCTCCCTTAAACCTTAAGATTAAAATTGCTTCATATCTGTCTTTCTTCCTATACTATATCCTTATATACAACCTATCTTTTATATACTATCACCACTAAATTAACTACTTCTATGAATTCGGTGTTCATCTTGTTGTGCTAACGAGGTATGGCATATTGAACCGATGCATAAATGTGCCTGATCCTACGTTGTAGCTAACTGACTGACTGACTTATATAGATTAATATTGTAATGAACGAGAATACAAGTAGGGACTAATCGAATGTATCTAAACATAAGATTACAAAATCTTTTAGTTAAATCTGAGAATCATACAGTGAATATTTATTAGAAGAGGTTTTGTGGAGATTTTAGTAATTTTATAGTTCAATTCACGGGTCGGTCGTGGAAGATTAGACATCAACACCGTTGAATGCCAGCTCAGTAGTCTACAGATTAAGCGACCGCGAGCGAGACTGTTATGGCATGACTTTGAATCCCGTGGGGTGGGATCCTGGATGCGCACTGCTGAGGCCAAAGTGAAAGAGGAAGACCAAAGGAAACATTACGCCGAGAAACAGAAACAAGCATGAGGAGAATGAACAAAAATTGGATAGAACTAGAAAGGATGACCCATGACAGAGTGGATTGGAGAATACTGGTCGGTGGCCTATGCTCCATTGAGAGTAACAAGCGTAAGTAAGTAAATACTTCAGAATCTCTCGAAAAGATTGATGTAAATCATCAAATAATCTGAAGAAAACTGTTGAATATCACCAACTTCAGGCATCTATGAATAAATGGAATGTTTGCTTAAAATATGAATAAATTATCATATAATTCATCATTCCATATAGGGATTTGTGAAGATTGCGTGTAAGTCCTTCATATGGAGTTGTGGATGCGCTCTGCTAACGAGTCTCATACTGAGGCGAATCAGTCGCCCAGTGCTTTCAGGCTTTCAGTAGTAATCTAGCTTAGATCAACTCGTGAATTCGACTACTATAATTCTATCTACTTTATAACTTAGAATTCAATAATGAATTTCATTTTGTTTATCTGAAGTAAAGGGGACATTTTTCCATTCACAATTCCTTCAGTATGTCAATATTTAAGAATATTTGCTTATTTAACTTCATAGACCAAACATAATTGTTTATATGTATCAAATATATGTAGACTGTTTTTATCGATCATTCTGTAATGTATACTATTGATGTTGACAGATATAAGTAGTATTTGTCACTAATTGAAAATAAAATGTCTGTCGGCAAAAGTTTAAGAAGATCGAAAGAAAAAAAAACAAGAACGGAAAGCGGTTGGTGTGAAAACAAAGGAACAAACAATCAATGGAATTCAATTAATATTGTTTGTTTGAATCTTTCCATTGATATTTAGGACTGTAACTGGTCGGGCTCGCACGCGAGACTGATAGGCCCTGGGTTCGAATCTCGTGAAGCGGAATCGTGGATGTGCACTGCTGGGAAGTCCTACAACAGAATGAAACGACCTTCCAACGCTTCCACGTTCTTCATGGTAGTCTAGCTTCAATTGACTCATGATTTCAAGTATATATAAATTTTCTGTAATTGTCTATTAAAATACATTTGATTGTCCCCATTTGTATTCTCATTTACAATTATAGAAAAGGAGGAGAAGCTAAAAGGCTTTTAATGTTCATACATGTTGAACTAATGAACCATTATTATTGTAGACAGGTAAATAATAAACAATAAACAAGCGTATTATTATTATTATTATTATTAGTAGTAGTAGTAGTAGTAGGAGGAGTAGGAGGAGGAAGAGGAGGAGTGGGAGTAGGAGTAGTAGGAGGAGTGGTAGTAGTAGTAGTAGTAGGAGGAGGAGGAGTGGGAGTAGGAGTAGTAGGAGGAGTGGTAGTAGTAGTAGTAGGAGGAGGAGTGATAGTAGTAGTAGTAGGAGGAGGAGGAGGAGGAGGAGGAGGTGGAGAAGGAGGAAGAGAAGGGGGAATTTCTTTATTCAATACAGCTGAAACTACTTCAAACTGTATTCGTAAATTTTTTTTGTTTTTGCATATTTATATAAGGTGGAAAAACAAACAGTTTTCACCTTTCCCGCCAAAAAAATGTTTGTTTTATTTGGATATTTTGTTGTTGTTTTGGTTTTCATTATTGACAATTTTATGTTTGATAGAATGAATATTACTAATGTCAATCAAATTGAAGTTTATTAATAGTAAATAGACATTCATTATAATTAATTTAATAATGGTAATGATAGGGTAATAAGTAAACAATCTAGTGATCTATTCCATTGTCTGTATAAATAAATAAAAATAGTACAGTGATATTATAATCAGAAGGGGTTTTCTTTGGAGATTTTAGTAATTTTCAATGGTTGAATTCATGAGTGAGATAAAGTGAGACCATCATGAAATCCTGGAAGGCTGATTCATTTTAGGATTGGACTCCTCAGTAGTGTGTATCTGTAATCCAGCTCTCAGGGCTCGAACCTAGGATATACCGATTTCGCTCGCGAACGCTTAACTTCTAAACCACTAAGCTGATATCCAACTGTGTTAATGTCTAACTTTAACCAATTCACGAAATTGAGAAACCGTTCACCATTATCTTTAGTGAGTTACTATTGTGGCGTGGGTTACTTATATCCACATAAGTAATATTTAACGATGGTCAGGCATTGAATGTATCTCAGTAGAAAATTTATAAGGAAAGAACCTGAACGAAACAAACATTTGTTCTTAGAAATTCACTTGGTAATGTTTAAATGAATCTTTCCATTAATGTTTAGGACTACAATTGATCAGTCTCTGATTGACATATGTGCAGACTGTGCTTATTGCCTCGATATTACCTTAATTCACAAGCATTATAAACAAAGATGGATAGTGACTAGTAGTGGAATCCACGTTTCATGAATAACGCGATGGCGTTCAAAGCGAACGATACTAGATCGATCAAGAAATAAGATAAACATTAAAATTGACAGAAAAAAATGACCAAACTATGGCTAAATGAGATTTTGTGGATTTTTGATAGTTACGTATTCTGTTGTATAGTAGACGAAGTAGAATCTCTCTGATATAAAGCACAATCTTACACATACACCTACATGTTCTTAGGTTTTAGCAAGTATCTTTTGTGTGCTTTGTCTACTTTCATCGGCTTCTTTGTAATCCTTCACAAAACAAGTCAGTTTTTGGGTGAAAATTGTATTCAGAAGAGCTTTTTAACATATAGAAAATAGTTACTATATGTTACATACCCGGTCTACCAGTTGAAGCATTTCTTGTACGTCCAAGTTCAACATGTTCTTTTGGTAATGTTCCAAGACCGGTGATTGGATCTCTTTGAACTGCTGTAATAAATATAATTAATATATTGATTTATTTATGTACAGTTTTCATGATGAATATATATCAAAGAATCTAATTGTATTGAGCATGCATGGGAATTTATTATTATGAAGCTTCTATTAAAGTGTTAGCTCTATCCAAGTCTTTTACTCCTCTTGGACGACCATTGGTCATTAACTACCATTCTGCGCCTGTTGATCTTCTACAGTTACTACCGGTTACAAGCCCCATTAAGTGTGAGGCCGGCAACCCAATCCCGTAAAAAATAACCTTGCTAAAAACGCTAATCAGAATAAACCTATTGCTAGCTACTGGATAATAAATTGCTGTTTAAGTTAATAACTAGTAAGTTCGAGTCTCATTGTGAATATAATCACATTGCTGTGAATGTATCCTACTGATGGTTTCTGAAGATGACTACCGTGAATCTTTTAATGTTAAGAACGCATACCATAGGATGTTTACTCTATAGTTTTCATGGTAATTGATGAGTCTGTTAAATGAATGTTCGATCGAATTTCTGAGTAGATTCTAATAAATCCAGGTTAAATCTAGATGGATGACTGGACGCAAGAGAAATGGCTCAAAATGAGAAAACAGAGCTTTACTCCAAGGTTAAGATATTCATAGTTACACACGACCCTAGGCTTCTGGAAGTTCATAGAACTATGCTAATACATAGTAGCCGTATACATAAATTTCCAATCACAAACGTCATATGCGACTCTTAAACTTCTAGAGAATTCCATTCGACGCTGTTGTTTTCAAAGATTTTCTGAGTCCCTGTGGACTTTTATGATGAATACTTTGGAACTATCCAACAGTAAAATGTTAACCACAAAAAGCTCTTTGTTCATCGGCAAAGTTGAACTCATAAACCACTAAGAATTCCCATCATACTTAAAAAACAACTAGCTGTCAAGTAGTCCTCAGTTTTTAACTAAACCCCAACTGAAATCATTCTGCAATGAATACGATCGATATACTTACTAGATTACTCGATCCCATATTAATTAACTCCTGACTAACATAATATAAATGAGTAGGATAATCTTACCTGTGTTTGAAATTTTTTAACTGATCAATGCTTTTTTTATAGTTCAAATCATGAGTCAATTGAAGCTAAAGCACCATGAAAAACCTGGAAGAATTGGACGGTCGTATCGTTCTAGTGTGAGGCTTCTCATATAGTAGCTCACTGAAGACATTGGTGGACGGTGGCGAAATTTCGTGAAATGTTTGAAGTTGGACATTTACACCGTCGGATGCTGACTCAGTGGTCTATAAGTTAAGCGTTCGCGCGGAGACCAGTAGATCCTGGGTTCGATACTCGTCAGGCGAGATCGTGGATGAGCACTACTGAGAAGTTCCACATTAATATGAAATGGCCGTCCAGTACTCTTAAATTTTTCATGGTGGTCTAGCTTCAATTCACTCATGATTTTAATCTCCACAAAACCTCTTTTATCAACACAAATATCTGTCAAATATAAAAACGGTTTTCTTTTCACAATTAATTTATCCAAAAACTGAAAATCATAACAACGAACAGTATACATGGCATACGACAAAAGTATACTGAAATATAATGGACATTTAGCACATGCAAAGCTAAAATCATTTTTCATTTGCGGTTGATTAATATTTGACATTAAACAAATCAGAAAGGGTTTATGTGGATATTATAGATATTTTTAATAGTTTAAATCATAAGTCAATTAATGCTAGACCATCAGGGAAAACCTGGAAGCACTGGACTCCCATTCAGTCTTATTGTGGGACTCCTCAACAGTGCGCATCCACGACCTCGACACGCGAGATTTGAACCCAGGACCTATCGGTTTTCGCACGCGATCACTTAACCTGTAGATCACTGGATATGCATCGCTTAGGAGTATCACAATAGGAAGAAACGGCCGTCCAGTGCTCTGGGGTTTTCCATGGTGTTCCAGCTTCAAATGACTCATGATCTCAACTATTAGAATGCAAATAAGTTTGAATCATGGTGTTCACAATTCATGGTTTCATTGTTTCTATCTATTAGAAAATAAAGTATATCAATGTATAAATTTTTGCCTACTCAAATGATAATTACTAGAGATGGTTAGTGACTAACAGTAGAATCCAAAACACACGTCTTGTACTATTCTGGATTCGTAAGCTGGATGTACCTGCATCCCAGAGTTGATGTTCACTTCGTGAATCGAACTCAGTCCCATTCGTTTTAAACTGCATTGTGTTATCCATTAAGCTAGTGAGTTAAGTTAGCCACTAATTTTTGCAAATAGGGTGGACAATACGATACCGTTTGAAGTGAAAGGTACTGGGTTCGAGTCCCAGAGCGAATATTATATCTGGGATAACTATCTTTCAAACATATAAGTCCACATTGTCAAAGAAAACAACCAAAAAAGGATCATTGATATGCAAACTAACAGTAGAAGACTGTAGGTTGAGACTCATCATTTGAATTCATCTGCATTTGAAATGATGTCCACTTCGAGACTCAAACCTAATATCGTTCGCTGTAAACACCTTCTTGATATTCATATAACTACTGACTTCAGATAGCCACTTGCTTATGCTATGAAGTGAAATTTAATTTGTTACTGTTAGTTGTTTGAATCTTCCTATTAATATTTATGCATAGAACTGATCAGTTGTTAAGTGAATGACGCGATGGAGTTTCAAGAGAATAGTAAATGGTTCGAGTCTCAGAGTGAACATCAACTCTGAGATGCAGGTACATTCAACTAACAAGTCTCAAATAGGATGGAACTCGCGTCCAAGATTCCACTGCTAGCCATTATCCATTTTTACTTATAATGCTTATGAATTAAGGCTATATCGAGGCATTACGCATAGTATGCACATGTGCCAATAAGCGACTGACCAGTTACAGTCCTAAACATCAATTGAAAAATTCAAACAAACAATACTAATTGAATCCCATAGTAGTTTCACAGAGAGGAATTTCTATCAATTGAAGGTAAAATAAAGGGTAAATGACTTTTTTGAAAGAATCAATACCCTTTTTTATTTTATTTATTTAAACACATAAATATTGATACAAGGAAGCACCAGATACATATGCGCCTCACAAATCTCATTCGATTTGTGTGAGGGATGTGATACTGCCCACGTGCCCAGACTGAAGCAGGTGGTTTTCTTAGGGGGCCACACCTGGAGCCTTTGACCTGAATATCTGATCCAGGAGGCAGTGGAGCATCGTAAGGAGATGCAGTCCTATGGTAGCCGGTGATCAACGGTTGATTCGTACGCCATTTGTTCCATCAGGATACTGGAGCCCATGTGCACCACTGGTTTGGAATCAGGGTTTTCCAACTCCTCTAGGTGGACACTCCACACCCACGAACCTGGTTAAAGCGCCGGACATTCGCTTTTCGTTCTCTCAATTTCGAAAACAACACCCCCACCACGAGAAGGCAGTGAGTAGGACTTCCCTGGCAGAGGCTATATATTCGCTGGCCATGTGAGAGCATTTCGAGAGGGAGAGGTGACTCTCCCCACTCTCGGCCGTACCAAGGCATTTGGGGGCCAATACCCTTTAGGATCAATCAGGGATACGTCACAAAATATTAAATCTCCTAGTGCCAAGACAAATTTTCAGTCAACTATTGATCACAGCTGGAGTGTGATTGAAAACCAAGGAACACTTAAGAGGCGTTTCATTCTAGTATATGACATCTCAGTAGTATTCATCCACAATCTACCGTAAATTGACTAGAGTTAGACATTAAGATTGATGGATGCCAGTTCAGTGGTTTAAAAGTTAAGTGTTCGTATGTGAGATTGACCGTCCCATGTTGGTTTGTCGGATGAGGGGCTTACACTGCTGAAGAGCCATGTACTGGGAAGACTTACTTACTTACTTACGCCTGTTACCCCTTGTGGAGGAGCATAGGCTGCTCACCAGCATTCTCCATCCAACTCTGTCCTGAGACTTCCTTTCCAGTTCTTTCCAGTCAACATTCATCCTTTTCATATCGGCTTCTATTTCTCGGCGTCATGTGTTCTTTGGCCTTCCTCTCTTCCGCTTCCCTTCCGGATTCCAAGTTAGGGATTGAGTCGTGATGCACATTGGTGATTTCCTCAATGTATGTCCGATCCACTTCCAACGTCTTTTCCTAATTTCCTCTTCGGCTGGAAGCTGATTTGTCCTCTCCCATAAAACGCTGTTGCTGATAGTATCCGGCCAGTGGATGTTGAGTATTTTGCGTAGACAACTGTTTATAAATACTTGTACCTTCCTGATGATGGCCGTAGTAGTTCTCCACGTTTCAGCTCCATACAGTATAACTGACTGTCTTGACGTTCGTATTAAAGATTCTGACCTTGAAATTGGTTGAGAGTTGTTTTGAGTTCCATATGTTCTTCAATTGTAGAAATGCTGCCCTTGCTTTGCCAATCCTCGACTTTACATCTGCATCCGATCCCCCTTGTTTATCAACGATGCTCCCCAGGTACTTGAATGTTTCCACCTCTTCCAGAGTTTCGCCATCAAGTGTGATTGGATTGGTGTTCTCCGTGTTGCATTTGAGAATCTTGCTTTTTCCTTTGTGAATGTGGAGGCCTATCGATGCGGTGGCTGCTGCTACATTTGCTGTCTTCATCTGCATTTGGTCGTGTGTATGAGAGAGGAGGGCTAGGTCATCTGCGAAGTCCAAATCATCTAATTGATTCTGAGAAGTCCATTGTATTCCGTATTTCCCTTCGGATGTCGAATTCGTCATAATCCAGTCAATCACTACAAGGAAGAGAAATGGGGAGAGTAGACAGCCTTGTCTGACTCCGGTCCTTACTGGAAATGCATCTGTCAGCTGTCCTCCATGCACCACTTTGCACTGTAATCCATCGTATGAGTTTTGGATAATGTTGACGATCTTCTGAGGAACTCCATAGTGTCGAAGAAGTTTCCACAATGTTCTCCTATCCACGCTGTCAAACGCCTTCTCATAGTCGATGAAGTTGACGTATAGTG